CCCCCCCGGCCCCTTTCCCCGCTGGGGGGGTCCCAAACTCGGGCTCAGCCGGGCGGGCGGCCTGGCTTTTCCCAGCCTTTTTGGGGTGAATTCCGCAGGGAGATGGTTGTTGGAGCGGGCTGGGGGTGCGGGGGGCTCTGCTTGGGCTCCTCCGAAAGAAGCACGAAGTGCTGCTCCATTTTTTTTATTTTTTTTTAGGGGCGTTAATAATGTTCTTATTTTTTTTTTTAATAGGGCTCTGTAGTGGTGTTATTTTTAAGGCCGTTTTTTTTTTGTGTGTGTTTGGAGGATGCACGTAGAAAGCTTGCTTTTATTTATTGTTTTTATTCTTAATTGCAGAGGTATTTAAAAAGGAGGGGGGAAAAAAAGAAAAAAAGGCTGTAAAAGCCGGTAACCGAATTGCTCCCGGCTTCAAGGAGTGCAAACCTAATACGCACCTTCAAAGGCGCTAGTAAAAGTTCAAGGGAGGGGGGAAAAAAATAATCCCCACATTGAAAGTGCAGTTGAAGGGATTTTAAAAAAAAAAAAAAAAAAGTTGCCCTGAATTGCCCGGGGTACACTTGTAATTTCTTTTGGGCTGTGGAGCTGCTAGGTGTGGTGTCCTTCCCCCTGGCATTCATGCCCCGAGCTGGAGTAGATTGTTAGAATACATTGTTCCTGGAAAAACGCACCACGGCAGCCCCCAAAACTCGCTCAGTAAGAACTTCCAGAAGGATAAAAGTACCCCACCCCCCCCAACCTCTGTTTTCATCCTCCCCAGCTTGTAGAAAGCTCCTCCTTACCGAAAAGTCTTGTTGCTGGGCTGATCTTACTAATTTTCTTATGTTCTTGCAGGGGCAGGGTAGCTGTTAGGAGGAGGAAATCACGCACTTTTCTTCCTGGCCAGACCCGGGGCAGTGAGGGGATCTTCCTTCGGAAAGTTGCAGGAATTGTGCGTGTTCCTGTCTGGATAATTTAGTCTTGTTAATCAAATCAATAAAACCAAAGCAGAACAGAGCTAGGAGAAGGCTTTATGGGTTTGCCTTACTAGACTATTTTAGTTGCTTCCTCGCAGTACTTTTTTTTTTTTTTTTTTAAATTTTTTTTTTTTTTAATGCTGAGCTGCCAAATACACTGTATTTACCAGTGATGTTTGGCTTTGCATTTCCTCCATCCATCCTACTATTGCACGGTTGTATTCCTGCCTCTTTTCTTGTTTTTTTTCTAAATGAAGTTTTGGAAGATGTGAAGTGCCAGTATTATTTGCAAGAGGGCCCCTACAGCATATGTACGTGATTTGTGTATACCCAAATGTCTGCACCCATCTGTGTGTGCTGATAAGGGGACGCTGTGGTTCTGCAAGGGTATATACCTTTGAGAGGCTTCATCAGATATATAAATCTTTTTAACATGTTGTGGGTGGTGGGGTAAGTAGTGTGAATGTTTGCCAGATGTTCACATTGTCTTTTGCGTGTAATTTCGGTTGGTAAACAGAAATCCCGTAACCGGAGCCTGATAGCAACAGCCCTCTATACAACTAAACCCTTGGCTAAATGATCGTATGGCTTAAGAGGAAAAAAGAAAAGCGTGCTGGTGGTGTGTGTGGGCACATGGTG